TTTTGATTACTGAGAGATTTTACGATATACTTTGTCAAATTCATGGAGAAACAACGCAGCATGGAGGACAAAAGCAAACATGGAAATCAGTCCGTGAAAAATGGAGATACATGAAGCAAGAAATCATAGAACAATTTGTAAACAATTGCAAAGTTAGTGCAGCTAGAAAACTGGCATTCCACCCCTTGGCTGCGAAACCGATAATTGCCAAGAATTTTCTTTCTAGGATGCAGGTACTATGAATTTTTATTAGTTTAACATTAAATTGAATTACGTTCTAATCATACTTTATTGTATATACGGATCTTATTGATCTGTCCTATATTCCCGAGGAGAATTCAAATATGTGTGTCACGTACGGGACCACTTTAGTAGATTCTCGTGGGCCCAGGCACTTATATCAAAAAGGCCAATTGAAGTCGCGTCTTTTCTGTTCGATCTCTTTCATATTATTGGATCTTCCCCTTCCATACTTCAGTCGGATAATGGAAAGGAATTTGTAGCACAGGTAATTAAAGAACTGATGAAACTTTGGCCCTCAGTGAAGATCATCAATGGACGCTCTAGACATCCCCAATCGCAAGGTCTGGTCGAACGTGCCAATGGTATTCTTGAACAAAAGCTAGGAAAATGGAGAGAAACAACGGGTCGAAATGACTGGTCATTTGGTCTAAGATTCGTTTGGTCTAAGATTCGTTGTAGTTGCCATGAACAATTTATGGTGTAGATCACATAAAAAAACCCCTATGAATTGGTCTATGGCGACAAACCCCGGCAATTATTCTCTTGTCAATGAGCTTTACGCAAATAGTATCTTCGATGAAGAGGAAATTCCGAATACAATTGAAGTCCCTGATGATGAAATAGACTTGGTCGATGATATCTTGGACAATGATATAGCTGGTAAAGCATTTTTATTTATTCTGGATTTTTGTTTTATTTTTTTTTATAATGATTATTACAATTTATTATTATTTTTAGAGTTCTTACCTGATGATCCAGAATGATCATTCGATTGTTCAGTGCTATCACCTGATAATCATGTTAATAGTTTATTATCTTCACCCCAAAGTCCAGTGCCTTCGTCCCAACATTCGATGCCTTCACATGATAGTAATGGTAGTTATGTTTTTCTCGCCTAATAATTACATTAATTATTCTGTGCGGGATCAGAATATCTAAATAAGCAAAAAATTAGAAATAAAAAAAAATAGAAAAGTTTATCTCAAGGACGTAGTGTAAAAGGGACGACTACGACTATTATGCGCGGAGAAGGGGCGTATAATAAACAGTATCTGCTCTTATCTTTTAATGCTAGTATCTTATCCAGTGCCTTCACCTAATAACTGTGGTCTCGTGTCTTCGACCCAAAATCTGGTGTCTTTATATGACAATAATGGTAGTTATACTATTCTTTTGGCTAATAATTATGTTAATTATTCATTATGAGATCAGAATATTTGAATAATAAAAAATTAGAAATGAAAAAAAAGTAGAAAAGCACATCTCACAGACGTAGTGTAAAAGGGACGACTATGACGACTATACGTGGGGAAGGGGTGCATAGTTAATAGTTATCGATATTATCTTTTAATGCTAATATTTTATCTAGCGTCTTCACCTAATAACCATGGTCTAGTGCCTTCGCCCCAAAACCTGGCACTTTTATATAATAATGATGGTAGGTATATTGTTCCTTCACCGAATATCAATGTTGATTATTCAGTATATCGTCTAACAGTAATTTTATTATTTAGTGCCTTCACCCAACAATCATGGCCTAATGCCTTCGCCTAATAACCTAGTACTTTCATGTAACAATGACGGTAGTTATACTGTGTTTTCATTTACAATAATGTCATTATTCAGTACATTGTCACCTAATAATAATGTTGTTTTATTATCTAGTGTCTTCGTCCAATAATTATTCCAAAAGCTCGCTTTATAACTCTGGTAGCAAGAATAAAGAAACTCTTTCTGCTCATCATCTGTACACAAAATTTCGTCACAATAATTTTTACGTTTTTCTCAATTTACAGAAACTTTTATTAAGTTAACAACCTTTTGTCTCTTAATAACATTTGTTCAGCTACTGTTTTTACATATACCTGTAAA